CACCGCACCGACCGCGAAATCCTTTTTTTCTAGAACCGAGGATACCAGGAGCAACCGAGCAACCTATCCTACAGAAGTACTTCGAATAACTTCCACGTATCGGCAAACGATTCAAATATTCCCAGCCGACCCGTACCGAGTTTCCCCAGACAATCGCAACCAATGCCATGCATATTCTGTGAAGCAGATCACCCCTCATACAAATGCACAGCGCAGTTGACACATCCGGAACGTCTGGGAAGAGCGACGAAAGCGAGAGCCTGCCTGAGATGCTTGAAGCTCAACCACATTGCAAAAAACTGCAAGGAAGGCCCGAAATCTCCCTGCCGATACTGCAACACCAAACACTATGCGATCATCAGCAGCAAAGCCCCGATTTACCAGCATGAGCCACCCACAAAAAACTCGTCGGTAAACCTCAACACGGAGTCAAACGAGGAACCGACATTTCTGTGGACCGCCCATGTTATCGCGGAGAGCAACTCAGACAGATGCTCAGACAGAAATTCATCTCGAGGAGGGATGCCAATAAACGAGTGTGGATTGGGCGGCTCCACGGATAACACAGCAACACGAGCACATGTCCCGATCGCGCGCGGTCTCTCCGGGTCATCTCCTCCCGCAGGCGGCGCCACAGTCATCTGTCAAGCGTCTGCCGGCGCTCTGGAGAAGTACCGCGACCCAGCCGAGAAAAGCACGGACATCCACACATACACCAACAGCATTTGACGCTCTTGATCAACCGGTCACGTCCGTGTGATCCGAGGGCCCAAGTTCTCAAACCAAGGGTTCAAATCCCCGAGTCGAATCAACAGGCTAGGCCTGGGATCATTCCCGCTAGCGTCCAAGTGCAATCGTACTCAATCCGTGCGCGCCGAATTCATTCTCTCGATGATTCTCAGTGTGTTCATTTAGTGATCGGAGATCGTGTGCCACAGACGTCATGTCGAGATTCAAGACTCCGCTAAGGCACTGACGTCAGGCCAGACTCGGGAGCAATTTGAGAAGAACAACTCAATGGTGCTAGGAGTACAACATCCGTTAATATCCTCGAGACCAAAATCATGCGTTTCAGCAACTCGGGGGGCATATGCGCGAGCCGAGAAGAATATTCAGATCAACGAATCCGCAGTGGAACTGGTCAGCAGCTTGACCAGCCTCGGAGTGATGCTAACACCGAAACTAAGATCCTCCAACCACTGAGCGTACACTGGGCGTTTCCGTGCGTTCCGGGTCGGGCAGAGCGCTCTTTTCAGGAAGGTGGCACTCATTTCGTCGAGCATCCTCAGGTTTTCCCTCAACAAGACATCAACCTGACCTGCCTGGAACAACTTCTACCACGTCACACGAGTGCCCTAGAGGGGCCACCGAGTCGACCATCAGGACGGATAGCTGGGGGGCTACCCGACCCGAGAGCCTGGAGGGGGATGGGATATAGAGGACATCGCGGTCATGCTTCTCGCAACACGTTTCTCGAAGTGTCGCGTGGGGCTCAGGCCGGGAGTCGTGAAGCCGATTCCGAGGTAGTAGAAGCGGCTCACAAATCACAAACTCGATCGGGGTCCCGGTCAGGTTCAGTCATGTTTTCACAGCGGACTCCCTCTCCTGAACTTCATACCCTTAGTCTTCTCGGCGTCGATCCTCAGGCTGTTATTTTCGCGGATGGGGATCGTGTACTCGTGGTGGGAACGGCTCTCAATAGCGAGTCAGTGATCCGTCTCTTGGCTGGGGGAACCTGACCGCGAAATTTACTTCACTCTGACTTCTTCGTCGCCAATCCATCAGAAATTTTTCTTCACCGTAATATATTTCCATTTCGACCGCTAAGCGAGGGATACTTTCTATCTAGCACCGAATCCACCTCCGTGCCGAATCATCCTTTGCGCCGGATCGTCTCGCGCCGGACGGTCCTGCGCCGAATCGTCCTGTTCCGCTCTCATCATCTACCTTCCTTCTCTTCCCATATTCTCTGGCCATGTCCGAAACATTCTGCCGTTCCGAGAGTCCTGTCAGGAACCCTCTTGGCGAGCGTCGTCTCCGGAAGAGATCTCTGCTTCGAAGCTAGAACTCAGTGAGGACTCGAAGCGCACAAGAAGATCAAACTCAACTCTGGCTCGGCGAGCTTTTGTGGACTCTGCCACTTATTCCGAATTTGTTTCTCCCCGGTGCGCCGACCTGCGATGCACGCCGAGCCGGTTTCAGTCGAGAGAGCCTTCCGGCGACCCGTAGACGGGCATTCATACAATAGTAAGAATTTTCGCATGAGCTATGGGAGAAATCGAAGGAGCCGAATCGGGCCAGCCATTTCATTTTGGGGAGCTTGAAATCGTGGATTCACTTTTTCCGTCTCGAAGGTCCAATGAAGCGGGATTTCAGTTCCCATTGCCTAGATCTCGAAGTCGACATCCACTCTTTCGTCGTTTTCTATGGTCGAGTTTTTCTTGGGTGGGCCGCTTAGCCAGACTTCAAGGTCCTTGTGGATGGACCTTGCAGAGCGAATGTACATCGCGGATCCTATTGATCTGCTGGCAGGCGGGATCGAACTCGGCCCATCAAGCGTCCGAGTCCGAACAGCGTCGTTGCCGCTGTGAAGCGCATTCTTCGCGATACGCGCCAAGCATTCGACTAGTTCGGCGACTGAGCTTACGATCAGAAGCCCGGGGGGTAATAGACCAGGTAAAGGACGGTAAGGAAGGTAAAAAACCCCTCTGACTCCTGTAAATTCGGGCCATAGTTGAGAGTGTGATTCTGCAAGATCACCCCCATCACCGGAAGTATCTGGATCAGCTATCTCTCATTACGCGGCGGAACATGCATGGCGATCGAGTTCTACTCGTTCTTATTTGGAAATATTAGCCAATTTCAAGGCTTGCCGCAATGCTGTGATATTGGCACCGAGGGCGAGCTTTTTCCTCAATCGGAAAAGTCGGATTCAAGCTCGACCTGTCATCAGAAGAAGATACTATGGATATCCGTATCGCAGTCAAGTGTGCCGGACGCCTATAGGCCCTTCAAGAACGGACACTGAGGAAGCCCAGATGATAAGACCTGCAACTCGAAACGGCTGAAAAGCTCGCGAGTGACTCTACGAGGATGCGGACAATGTCGTTGCAGGTGGCTCAATGGAGCGGAAGAGGGACCCCGATTTCCAGCAGTGCCCGCGATATTCGTATATACTCCATCGGATTCCCTTCGAATAACACAGAAGACACTCAATCCTGATAGGGAAATGAGGCTCTGGAAATCGACCGGAATCCGATACTCGACAGAGTTCGGTGAGACTCGAATATTGCTAGAGCTACGCCACGGGTTCGGAAAGACGCCTGGTCCAGGACTCGACACGAAACACAAGTTCGCGGAGCACATGTGAGTCCAGGATCCACTCTCCATGCGCTTTCGCTGCGAGAATCGCGTTTTCGAGAAAGAAATTGCATTCTCGAGGGGATTTCGAGATTCACCGCGGAGTCCACGATTTTTCACCGCGGTTTCAGCGGAAAATTTTCATCCCGAATTATCATCAGAGCGACCGTCTTGCATAGGTATTGGAAAGTGCTTCGTTCACGTGCTGGATCGTCCTCTTGCGACCGAGTTTGGCACGGCTCGGATAATTTCTCGGTATTAATTTCCTCTCATAACAGAATGGTCTGGAAGGATTTTCGCCCATACCGGCCCAAGATTTCCATTCGCCCCCAAGCATGCAACAATCGAATGTGATAGGAGCAGCGACACGCTGCTCGCTACTTCAACCTTGCCCGCCGTGAATCAGACGTGATTTTTCCAAATATCAGGGCACGAGATGGCTGCCTTCGAATGGAGAGAGTCCGACTCTCACTTCGGATCGGCTGCGACGACCCTTCGAGATGACTTCTATGCCATCATGTCAAAATCGGAGTCGAGGGACTTCAGGTACTCCCCGAGAGAATCGTACGACAAGCAAAAGATCCAGCCGCTCGGGTTGATTCAATTGCATCTCACAAGTGGGTAGTCTCTTCCGAAGAAATCTACGCTCCGGAGTCATCCTCTGAATATAATTATTCCGGGAGCATCAATGCTCGGGATATATTTTGAAATTGCGCGGGCTCGGATATCTCGGCGAGAGACAGATGTCCGTGCTGTCGTCGTCTCTTCTTTCTCACTCAGAGAGGACATAGCAAATAGCAAGAGCGTAGTCAGTCGTCAGAGTGTACACACAGGAGAGACAGTGATGATAATGTTGATCTCTGCTTGTGCATTTTCGAATGAAAAGAATAATTTCCGCGAATTCTCCACTGGACATTGTCTCGTAGATCGGGAAGGAAGGAGGGATCGTCGCGGAAGTCGACCGCGGCGAGTCATTCCTATCATTGGATCCCATGTGTTTTGAGGGCGCCTGAAGTTCCTTCGAGGGAATTCAAGTTGGCTCTGCCGCTCGCAGAAAGCTCGACCATGCAGGATGCAGGAGTAGAATCCCGAACAGAAATGACCCAGACTGTACATTCCTCTATCTCAGTAAACGCGGAATTCTGCTTCAGTCCGGTTGGTTATATCGGAGAGCAAGAGACTCCTATCATGCCGAGGACTCCTTCTCTCAGAAAAAAACCTCAACATCACCTGGAAGAACAGGGAAAGCCAGCAGTTAGAGCGAGCTCCAGAAACTCTCCTTTCAATGAAATATCTTGACCTTATTCACGATGGATCTCGACTCCCCGTTGACGATGCTATGGCATAGGTACGGGATGATGAAGCCGGTGTCATCATGGAGGAGCTCTCTTCGCTGTTGTTGTCAGTGTCGGCTGCTTCGAAGAGCATCCTCGCGTTTCGGAATCGTTGATAACAGCTGTCGGAAGAAGCAAAGAGACAAGAAACCACATATCGGGTATCTGTACTCCTGCTCCGGAGGTCGCGTTGTTAAGAATGAAAGGCCGGGGGGGGGGGGTTTCAGAAAGGAAATCTCTCCTGTGTTGTGGCTCCAATACTCTTTCCTGGAATGGGAAGCAGCGCGAATTTCGAAAAGACTCGATATGATCGAGGGTTCGGTTGACGGATGAGACTCTCGCCCAGGCTATAGTTCTTCCGTTCGTGAGCTCCGAATCGTCGGAGAACTCGGCTTGGCCATGCGAGCTCTCATCCAGAGGGTTACGGCAGCGAGAGTCACTGTGAGAAACGACCTCGTTTCGTCGATAGAGAAAGGCCTCTGCGTGCTAGTCGGTTAATAAGTTCTTTTCATGAAATATCATCTCGTTCCTCTCGTCGAGTCTTCTGTGAATGATGCCTCCGCAGGGCAAGCCAATGATCCGTCGGCTTCTCGAAGTAGTTTCTTGATCTTCTATGTACCGCATCCGCCTTGATTGGTCCGATTCACCGAGTTTTTCTTCTCCAGGCATTCAAAAAGACGACACTGAAGCCGACATCGAGTACATGGTGAGGAAAATTTTGAGAACGAAGCTCTTCTCGACAGATGAAGGGAGATGGAAGAAAAGCGTCGTGGAGGAAGGCTTGGAGATCCTCTGCGTGAGTCAATTCACACTCTTCGCAGTGCTGAAAGGTAATGCTGTGATGCTACCTATAATGCTCCATCTTCATACAATCCAAGGATGCGGATGCTTCGCTCGTGCTGTTCGAGAAAGCAGCTGATTTTCTCCCCGCAGGAAACAAGCCGGACTTCCACAACTCGATGCCTGGGGAGGCTTCTAAAGAGTTTTACTCGAAGTTCCTGAACGCTATCCGACAAAGCTACGAGAACGATAAAATCAAAGACGGTGCTTTCGGTGAATACATGCAAGTTCACATCGAAAACGACGGACCTGTGACAATTATGTTGGACTCTCAAGCCCGATAGACCATTTTTGTCCTGCTATGAGAAGATGCTACGGCCGGTACCCTACCCTAAGCCGATTTATGAGAATAAATGTCGCATCCGAAAGCGGCAGATGCCGGGGATAAAATTTTCATTTTTCATTTCATCCGGGGACCATTCACATTCACGGATCCCCGTAAAGGAAGTCATGTGCTCATGCAGAATGAATAATCGTTTCTGGTGTCGATACTGGTGGTCGAGGCCCCTCTTCCGGACATTAGGCCTTGCTTGGACTCCCTCTATCCCTTCTCAGACAACCCCCCCCACATTTTCAAGCTCACCGCGGCTCTCAAATTTCGATACCGCAGCTGCAGACATTCGGCGCTCTAGTTCCTAAAATATTCATCATTTTGGACATTCATCACCAGTACCGGAGTGTCTAGAGATCGACTCGAGATATTAAGACAAGTGTGGTCATCCACCTAACGAGTCAGAGGCATTTGTCTTCAGCTGGGCAGGGCTATAGAACATGGTCCCTGTACTTGGACGACTCGGACCCGCGCAGCCTACAACGAGCTTTTCAGCTGATTTCGTGATATTCGTCCGTCGTGCAAGGGAGATGCTGAAATCCATGCACCGATCCTCTCGAGACGCGGTTCCGGGAAGCTCCTCCTGTCTTGGGCTCGGGACAAGGACTCCCTCAGGTATCATTGTCTGAGGATGGACTTCGAACTCTGCATGCGGAAGAAATCGACATCCCACCCATTTGGCAATTGGGGGCGCCTCAATCTCGCAGCAGGCTGTCAGGAGAGATCTGCGTCGTTTCTACGCAGTATTTCCACGGAAGAACCTAAATACATCACGATGCGCTAACTTCCATGGCTTGAGCTGATGGGATGCTGAGGCCATGGGAGTACGATACGAGAATGATGATAATGATTGATGTTAACAAGGGAAATGGAATTCTAACCTTATCTGGGCTGATGAATACAAATCGGGTGGACTCTGTCGTTTGGCTTCCCACCAGGGGCGCGGCACGGAGATGGAGCTTGAACTCTATGCAGCCCAGAAGGGTGAGCTAGAGCTCTTCGTGAAGGCCCTGCTCATTCGCTATTTTCGAACACTGAGGAAAAACTGGGCGAATTGAGTTCCTCCCGATCGATAAGGCGCCTTCCCCCTCGCAGATACGATCGTCTCGTCAGGGTTTGCGGAGGCCTGAAAACCGATTCTTGCGCTCTCTGTGATGACGAGCTCGATCGAATGCAAAGAGCTCCTCGCTCTTCGATATACCCTGTCCCGCTCTCAAGTAGCCTGGAAGAGCTGAATGCTGCGTCCCGAAGCGCTGGGAGCTCTTATCTGACGAGGGCGGATCATGGCTCCCATCGTGATATGTATTTGTAGGTGTGAGTCCCGGGATGGGGAGGAGAACCAATCCCGGAACTGGGTCACGCGTGATGTTCCTCGAGTCGGTGAGCAAAAAAAATCACGGTCTGTCCTTACGGCGATCTCTGAATCGTTCGGAAACCATTGGGAGGAGCTTCTGACGAAATGACAAGAAAAACCTCATGTCGATGCCCGGACTGAGCGGCAGACGAACAGATCTCGAATCGAGATGCCGCGTGTTGGAGAAAGCCAGACGGCTCATCATCCGAAAGCTTTCTACGATCTCCATTTTCGCGGCATTCCCCTTCATCTGCCACAGGCGAAACCTCTCTCAGCGTCACATCCCCCGTTGCCTTGTACATAGGATTCGGTATATCTATGTGGAAGCCACTCAACCCCATCACTCAAGACAGTGGCGCCGGAAAAGAGTTCCCTTGAGGGAAGGGGCATCTATCTCCGATTCGAGGTCACTTGGCGCTGGCTCGAATTTCTTGATCACCAGTCCCCGGTGCCTCGCCTGAGCGAGCTTTCGGAGTTGGTCTCGAAGTACGAACTATCACAAATGGGGAGGCCTCGAGTCCGTGGAAGATTATTCATCGACTTATGAACGAGTGCCTCTCTCTGTGCTCCGGAGGATTCTGCAAGGAACGCTGCCCACCGATAATGTTTGAGTTTCCGAAATCTTTCCGTGAAGCTTCCCTTGTTAAGCCTCCCGTTGTGGATCCGGTAGATAAGGACCGGATCCAGGATCCGGTTCCGACAGATGGCTGACAGAACTTCCTCGCCACCAAGTATCGCAGGAATTTGGAGCGATGAAGAGTCGAATTTCCTGAACAGCGTGTTTCGCGATATTCGTCAGGAGGTTTTCAGAATATTCTTGATATTTATCACTTCATCAGCCCCGCTGGAACCTCAGCCGGCTCCGGAAGACCTGGCTTTGACAGTAAACGCGCCAAGCGTGCGAATCCGAGAAACAGGGAGCCGGGCTAATCGACGGAACTCTCCACATGAGAACTGCGGCCCACGGTGCGACTGTCTTCCCTCCGGAACAATCCAAGCGAAAAAACAGATGAAGTTTTCTGAGCTCGAATCACTGTGAAAAATCGCAACGTGCGATCCAAACTCGGGGATGCCAAGAGAACACCAGGTCAGTCCTGAAAATTGAGGAATCGAGCTTTCTCTGAGATGCTCTGACGTTTTACATTTACATTACGAATCAAGAAGTTGGAATCCATCGACGCGTATGGAGTCTCTCCCAGACTTCCTGACAGTGAGAGTTCGCCCTCTGAACCAAGCTTTGGTATCCTAAACTCGATCGAGAAGAGCGATGTCGAAGCTACCGGTCTCGGTCGTCAACCGATATGTTCTGAAAGAGATTAACAGAACCATCCGAATTCATTACAGTCTCGCAATGACTGAGAACAAAGCGGCTGCTCAAACGCTGCTTTTGGTGGAAAGTCTAAAAGTCCTGAAGAACTCCAGAAGCCAACATGAAACGGAGGAAACGATCCAGAGTCTGCTGAAGCTGGATTTCGAGGTATGAAACTTCTCATTTTCGATCTAGACGGAGATGGGAACCGCACGGGTAGGAGAGGGGATACGGAGGAGCTATAACTCGCACGAAAAATCATTCAGGTGCCGTTTTGCACATCGGACGTCGGCGAGGATCTGCTACGGATCTGTGTCTTACGCTGCGAGCAATGTCCTTCGATGGCCACAGCTCCTTTGAAGGAGTTAATTTGGCTCTTTCAAACATCGACCGAGAACCAAATAAACCTCAGCCCGACATCCATAGATCTACTTGTCAAATTCTGTTTGAAAAGAGTGCTGTCCGGGCCGATTCCGCAAATTATCGTCAGCTTCCATGCTTTGGGCTCGTTGGTAAGATTCCATCAGGACTTGATTCCATCGTCATCTTCGCTCTCGAGGATCTCTCCTGCTTGATGAGGAGCTGGTCTGACTTCGGAGCTCTCAATTGAAAAACTTTCCGAAATCTTCAAGGTCTATCAAAACAGTCATTTATTGGATTCGAACTGGCCGGCACTCCATGAAGTCCTGCGGAGAAGTCTGTGTGACAACGAAGACGTGGATTCGATCCGTCACTCAGCTCTCAAAGTAAGTGGAAAGACCCGGCTGAAATTCCTCGTCAGACACGTGATTGACCGGAGTTTGAGCCCCTCTGAAAAATTGATACATCAGGCAGACAATTTCCAGATTCTTCAATCACTAACGATTCGCCGGGACAAGGAGACCGGATATCTGTCAGCTTCGCAAGTGGACGCGATCGTCGCGATGATTATCGAGGGAGTGATAAAGAAAACGAATTATGCAGATGAGACCTTGTTCTGCAAGATCCGGGTGGCAACCATGAAAACTTTGTTGAATCTCGTGAACTCTGATGCCGTTTTCCAAGCGGAACACATGGGTTATATTCTCGGATACCTCCGACACCTGACTTTCTACGGTTTTCCTGGATATGCTTCACGACCAATCAAGAGCTTCGATCTTTTCCCGTCTCCCGTCTGCCACCAATTGCCGCACATTGATATGAACGAATTGGACGGCAATAGGGATAAGCCGGTCATGCGCCGCTCTCACGGAAAGAAACAAAACAATCGTACGTTCCGGTAACGTCTTCCGCCTCGCTATCTCCTTTTCCTCCAGACATTGTCCTTCACCTAGGATCCGATTATTCTTTTTTGGGATGGTGGAAGGGGACCGTCACACGTAAGAATCAAATTCACAGGAGCTCAGAAGTCCGAATCCACAACTCAGCTAGACGCACAAGACGATTCCGACAGCTCGCCGAGTCGGAAGCGGTACCTCCCGTGGACCGCTGCCGACAGTTCGGACGCTGATACGTCTGATCCCGAAAACGCACAAGACGCACTCACTTTGAATAAAAGATTGAGGAATATGAAAGCTAAGGTTCGCCAGATCGCCTATGACACGATCCGGATGCTCTTGCTCACAATCAACAAAAAAGAACGTTTCGGGTGAGTAATCGAACACCAGAGCCTATCCAGTGGAATCCTCCCGGCATTGTCCGGAAAAATTATATATATTCGGACCATCTCTAATCGGGGTTTCCCTCGCATCCCAGATACCTCCTGAATTTCCTGCCGCAACAAAGCAGTCCAGCGCTGAGATCGACCGAACACACCTTAGTGCTCTCGATGCTGAAAGATCCGGATGCCCGAGTGCGGAGCTCATCCATAAACGTTTTGAAAGATTTCATTGCCAACTCGAAGCAATACATCATCCTCGCCTGCGAATCGACGCACGCAACCTCGTTTACCTCGATCTCAGAAGTGATGGCCTCCGTTATCACTGAGCTACATCGCGCAATCCATCTGGCCCTCCTGGCCGAAACCCTCCCCCTCTTTCAGATCCCCTTGCTCAGTTGTCTATCATTGCTCACGAACGCGAGTCCATACAACAGACTGCGGGCGTCGATCGTCATGGATATGATTGGAGACTTGAGGAAAATACTGACGAGCAAATTCGAACAGGTTCGCGTGGCCGCCCTGACTTGTCTCGGAGGGTTCGCCGCTTACCAACCACGGCACACGGAAATCATTCGCTGTCTCGGCTTGGACTCGGACCACTGGCTCGAGGTTTATTGCTCCAGTCAATTACTAGGTCCAGAAATCGAGGCGAACTCTGTCAGGGTCGAGATCCTTCAAACGCTCACCGCCTTCGTCAGTAATCATTTTAACTACTGCATCGAGGTGTTCGGGGAAATTTACGTACCGGTGCTCGAATCCGTGTTGGTCGATCCATTCGGACCGATCAGGATACACGGCATGAAGTTGGTCACAGCGTTGGCGAACAAAATCGCTGATTCCAGCTCGACAGAGAACGAACTCGTTATGAAGCTCGGGAAGTCGATGTGGCAGGAAACGCTTTTCCAACGAGGATTAATTCAAAAATGCATTTTCCCTCCGGCCGAGGGGGAGAGCGATAGGACTCCTCACGAAGTAAGAGAGTGCCAAGTCCTCCGGAGAGAAACTTTCACTGCTCTGGCCGAAATCGGTTCCGTGATGTGGGATAATCTACCTCATAGTAATCAAAAGTTCTGTATTTGCGCTCTGTTGACCCATGCGAAAGCTACCACAGATGACGTAGCTCTGGCCGCGATTCGGACCCTGGGAATTTTCTGCACCTACGACGGGACGGCTTTCGACACGATCCTTCTCCAGGATGTCGGTGAAATGTGCGTTCATCTCCTCGGGAAACGCATCAATCTTTCTCTGAAACAAAAGGTGTCGTGGACTCTTTCGAACGTCTGCTTTGCGCTTTGGACATTGTGCAAAGCCGAGTCTGTTCGATTCCTCGAGGAGATCAGCCCGGAATTCTTCAACAATCTCCTCAGACTTTCGATCGTGGCCTACGATGACAAAGACGCGGTGAGAGTGAACGCTTTGCGTGCCATGGGTCTCTTGTTGGGAATGGTCACGGAAAGCTACATGCACAAAGAAATCCAGTTGTACAAGGAAGCGGTGAGACTCCTGATGGAAACCATGGCTTTGAGTAGCGATAAATTTTTCAAGGCTAAATGGAATGCTTGTTACGCCATCGGATGGATTCTGAGGAATCCCACTACGCGAGTGCTGGTGAATATCGATGCTTCACTAGAGACTCTGGAACATTATTTGCTGGAATGCATCAACCTCAAAGTACAAATCGCTTGCATATCTGCCCTAGACCAGCTCACGGAGGCTCACGATCTCCCCGTTTCTGTACACACGCAGGCTTTCAGTATATTGTTGAGGAAAACCTCTCGAGTGTCCGAGATTCAAGTCAGTTATAAAGAGTTGAAACACTTGCAATCGGTCAAAGAGAACCTCAGTCTGGCGGTGCTTAATTATTTATCGAAATCAGACCAAGAAGTCTTCCGTTGCCTCCCGACATTGATGACTGAATACGGAGAATGTCTGGAGATTCTCCTCAAAGATTCGTTGTCAAATCTGGATGTCAAGCGTACCCTCGAGGATTTTATGAAGACTCCTCGAGCAACCTCATCCTCTCAAATCAACAAGTTCATTATCGAGATTTCCGAGCACATGCCCGAATACAGCATATTCGAGGCACCAGAATGAAAGTAGAGGCTTCGAAGAGAGGAGTCTCTTTGTAGACAAATTCTCCTGACTAAGACTCCGTTGATGTATCGCGGCGTACCTTTATTCCTGTTAATAAAGAGCTATAATTTATTTGAGGATGATGCCGTTTGTCCTCGCTTCCATCTATTCCCATTCATGTATGTCTGGATTCGCGATCTCCGTTCGATTCGCGTACGCTCGCTTTATGAGTACGACGCTAGAGAGAATGTCGCCTGTTAGGGAATCGTCAGTCCCATTCGAGTATCGGATCGGAGCGACTCATTCGCTCGGTGGCAGGGAGCGCTGACCATGGATGTCCGTGATTCGGGAGCTACGCCGGTCAGCGGTGCGCAGCTCCGTGAGTCTGGGGAGCGTTGCTATGGTGACTCCTGGCAAACAAGGCATCCAGTCTCTCAGGAGCATATCGCGACAAGTGTACGACGGATATCCTCGGAATTTGAAGGGTGCAAGGAGCAAGAGCCACGATGCTTCGTCGAGCCGACGCGGAAGAGGATCTTTATTCAGGTTTCAACGATGACGCCCACCCAGCCTTCGACACGCGGACCCTCCAGATCGACGAAGGTTTTCAACAGGCGGTCCAAAGCAGTCATGGCATGCGCCCCTCGACCAATTTCCGAATGATGACAGCGCGTGGCAATACAGCCATGAGACGGACTGGTAAGCTCCCATCTCGATTAAATTCGACATTGCCCGAAGTTGGCATTCTTCGGTCCACGTGGAATCATTCCGAGTACACTGCGCTTTCCAGTCGGCACGGCTAGCGGGAGACCCGTGACGGGAGAGATGAATCGGCCCGTCACAGCCGTCAGGGGAGCCGGATTCAACTCCGCTGCTCGGGTAGGGGCAATGTTCGATCCTCTGAATCAAGCGAAAACATCGCCCATCGTCACATTGCAACTGAAAGACGAGAACGACCCAAAGGAGAAGATAAAATCCATGGAGGCCCGTATCAATTCGCTCGTTGAAGAGAGCATTCGAGACGCCTCGAAGAAAAATTTCAAACTGGCCCTGGAGAAAGCGAAAGAAGCTGTGGCCAGGGATCGTCAGCTGTCCAAGCAGAGGGACCAGATTCTGCCCGGTGGTCAGGCGAATATGGAGTTGAGTTTCTGCGCTAAACTCAACCTCGCGCTCCGATACACCGATGGCGACATGTTGAACGAGGCCCTCGAGATTTACCAGGTACACACTCTCAAATGCATGGCTGTTCGTGGCCGGGATGAGGGGCGACTCATGCCATATTCCGACGGATATCACGACCTACACAAATATTCCAGAGCATAGTTCAAAATCGAGCGTTTTCCAACACTGGGCGGCTCAAACTCAACATGGGAAACATCTGCTTCATGCAAGAGAATTTTCCAAAAGCCGTGAAATACTATCGCATGGCGTTGGATCAGGTGAGCGTAGAAGGAGTTCGGGAAGTCAGATGGATCGATCAGTCGAAGACGTAAGGGCTGACGAGCGAGAACGTGGGCTTCATATGCAGTCGTCTCTTCTAGGTCCCGAACATGCAGAAAGATCTTCGTATCAAGATACTGAAAAACATCGGAACGGCTTTTGTGAAGATGGGTCAATTCGCGGACGCCATAACTTCGTTCGAGTATATTATGGCTGAAAAAAGCGATATACAAGCAGCGCTGCATTTGATCCTCTGTCATTACGCCCTTGGAGATGTGGATAAGATGAAGCGCGCCTTCATCAAGCTCCTGGATGTTGACAATGTGTCGTTGGAATGTAAGATCCCCATCCGCCAATGCATACGACTCCGATACCCATGATCATAACTCTCATGCATCGGGAGGATCAATTTCTAACAATGTTCCCTCAACCCGATAGCTTCAGAGCAGAACGGACCCCCGAGAAATGATTTACTGCATAAAATGGAACAGAAACGGAAGCGTGACTCGGAATTCATAATAATGACTGCTGCAAATTTGATAACACCGGTCAGTTCATGGAGCATCACAGTGGGATTCAAACCTCGACAGCCCCGGATAATCCGCTAAGAATCCTTCCGGATGTTTTTCCCGTATCCAGGTGATTTTCCCGACGGCGGCCGAAAGCTACGATTGGTGTATCGAACAAATTAAGGCGTCCTCCAATTTCGCGTACCTCGCATCAGACCTCGAGCTTAATAAAGCGACCGCATTCCTGCGGAAGAGAGAATTCGGGAAAGCGATCGAAACATTGAAGAGCTTCGAAAAGCGTGATAATAAGAACGTTTCGGCGGCGAACAATCTCTCGTTCCTATACTTCATGCTGGACAGGCGGCAAGCTGAGAAATACGCCGACGCTGCGATCGCGGTCGATAAATATTACGCCGCCGCACTCGTCAATAAAGGTGAGTTCTCGTGAACGACGGAGCGATCTGGGGTAACGAAGCCAAGGACAGAGCTTCGGAGAGGATCAACAGCTTCCGACTTTCCCTTTGAGGGTTGCTCCATGTTTTGAGAGACGGACCTCTTCCACAGGCAACTGCTGTTTCGCAAGGGGCGATTTTCTCCAAGCGAAGGAGTACTACAACGAGGCGCTGCAGGTTGAGGCCAGCTGCGTCGAAGCGCTGTACAACATAGCGCTCGCATGCGAGAAGCTCAGAGAGCGAGACCTCGCTCTGGATTACTTGTTCAAGTTTCAGGCCATCGTGGGGCTTTATCCGAAAGCGTTGTATAAAATCGGCCAGCAGTACGAGGCAGCCGGGGATATAAATCAGAGCATGGAATGGTGAGGAAAACAGCACTCGATTCGTTCATCTGCTGGGAAATCGAGTTCTGTGAACGTTATCGTCCCTGTTCATCCCTCTCTGCTTCCATCACGATACGAGAGAATTTTCAAACAGGTACCATCAAGCCTCGACGCTGCTCTTGAGCGATCCGGATCTCCTGAATAAACTCGGCTCTCTGTGCGAAAATCAGATGGATGACATCCATCAGGCGTGTCATTATCATACTGAAGCGTGTAGACACTACCCGTCATCGTTGTCAACTCTGGAGTGGCTCGGAGGTTATCATGTCGAGGTTCACTCTTTCGACGAAGCAATCAAATGCTTCGAAAAGGCCCAACTCATCCAACCTGCTGAGCCAATGTGGCCATTGTATATCGGTTCGTGCTACATGCGGTCGGGCCAGTTCGATGAAGCGTTGCGCTGCTATGAGGCCGTGCATCGGAAATTCCCAGAGAATATCGATTGCCTCAAGATGCTCACAAAGATCACAGGTGATCTCGAGCTGCCGGAATACGAGGAGTACATGGCCAGGATGAAAAAATGTGAGAAGCTCAGAGAAGCCCGGGCTCAGAGCGGTAGAACGAGTGGAGGGCGCAGAAAACGAAGGGAAACCTCCGCAAGACCAGTAAGCTCCGCCGAAGGTTCGAATGCAGCTAAAATTACAGAATCGGTCATGACAGAAGTCGAGTTCGATGACCTCGACGATGATTTCTTACCGTTGTGAGAACAGAATAAACGATCGCAGTTATGATGGTTCAGAGTTGTCGTGCTGATAACGAGTGCATCGTAGGGAGAGATCATCGACTCTGATACTCCGAGCTTACGATCAGATGCGACAGTGCCTCCCCATGAGAGGGCTAACTCGCTATTCCCACAAACCTCACCAGACAACCAGATCGGTCGAGCAAAATCCTCCGAAATTTTTTCTCATCGTTGGTAGAAGACGAACCTCGTAGTGAACTACGTCCGCATAGACAACTGGTGGAACGAGTCGCAGACATCCCGGCAAAGTGTTCGTAGGTGGGCGTAAGGACGAGAGCAAACTTGAAAACCCACAGCAACTCGGAGTTCCCAACTCTTTATTAAACCATGAAGTCCGTTGATGATCCCACGACATTGTTTTGTGTTTGTAGGCTCATCATTTACAAAGCTCGAGATTTCTCAAATCTCTCTTGTTTTCGTCTCAGTCGGAGACGGCGCGACGCTCCCGCTAATCGAACACTGTACACAATATCCAAGAGTCATTCCTACGACCGAGAAGAGAGAGGAGCTATACCTTGAATCTTTCCTCTCTGCCGAAGTGATATGCCTGAAATACTTCCCCACTATCGCATTCATTCGAGATAACATCGAGGTGAGAATTCTGTTGAACGATTGAGGACTCAGTCCTTCCGCTGCTCAGGAGTGAAAGTAGGAGGGAAGATAAGGTGAACAGGTCCCTACTTGATGATGATGAAACCGATGGCGTAAGTGAAAATTATCGTCTCTCGGTGTCGATGATGGATGAGTATGACATATTCTACGATTGGAGGATTGAGTTGATCTCAGTCAGTTGAGCCGCTCCACCTCGTATGTGCTCCTCAGGTCTGATTCCTCGTTCATACTGTGATATTCATTCGCACCCCAAGAGCTGTGGTGCGGACTTTTTGAGACCTCACGTCTCCCAGTCTGTTCAGTGAGGCGTCCGATGCCGCGTTTTGAATAATTGGGATTCATTACGCGATGTTAGTTCGATGGCGAATCATCGAATTTCGAGTATTGCCTCAGGATTCGAGCACGTGATTTGCTGAATATTGAGGAATTTCCTCTTACGTCATCGAACTGAGGATGCTTCAGAAGATCTATTGCTTGCAACGTTAATTTCTGCGCAGTCTACCGATCTTAGTGTGAAAGTAAAAGTATACACAGGGTTGGAACAATCGAAAGATAGCTGCAGGTCGCGAGTCGAAGATCGGCGTTACTTCTAGCATAGAAGGGTGGCGTTCCTGGAATCACGAACAGATGTCTTACAATTCACCCCTGCTTCCGTCACTCTCGTCTGCGACTTCGAGGCTCGCTTCATAACAAGTACTCCTCAGCAAGGTTTATCGAGTCTCTCCAGAACCTCGAACGCGACCAGTCATGGGTCTACCGATTTCGACGAGGAGATCCTTCACTTACTTGTGCCTTTCCGACGACCCGTGTCTCTCTCCGAGGGGACTTCATTCGCGGTCTCTGGAATTAGAAAAACTCACGCTGAAGACCCGAGGACGTTACAGACGGTTCCCTACCGATTCTCCGCCTAGATTTTGGGCGCATAGCGACACGCGAGGAATCTGGGCTCATTTCTTTTGTTTATCGAACCGGGTCTCGTTCACGGTTCGATGGGCGGCCCCACTCGCCCCAAGGGAGCTCGCTCCCTGCCACCGTGCTTGATTCCGGCGAGATATTCTAAGCTAGAGGTATACATACACATGCATGGGAGATGCAAGAGAGCGAACGAACAAACGAGCGATGCAATACTCTGTGATTGGTGGCATCGCCGCTTGATTCTTGCTCCCGCACAATTGTCATGTTCCGACAGCCGAGGAGGTTTGCGTCGCGTACGCGAACAGAATACTCTATATCTCACCGATTCCCTCCGGAATGGCGAACGTCTCCATCGTAGTGAACCAGCGCCACGTGGTTCGCCGGGTCGGGGCTGTGAGAAAAGAGAGAGAGAGGTTTTGAATTGAAAACGTCTTCCGATCACTGACAAACACGAACGGTTCCGAACATTGATTTCCTGTCAGCGTTCTCGACTACGGCTCGGAGCTTCTCGGGAAGAAAAGAAAACTCTCGCAACGGAGCTTCTTTGCAGTCGACTCACCGGCCGTGGTGGTTGGCGGCCGTGTTGGTCTCGGTCTCACGGTGGGACGCGGTTTTTCTGAAAGGGGGAGAATCTCCGCTCACTATCGATGAACATCCAAGCCATTAATCCTCCTAGCGGTTGTCGTCTTGATCCCTCCGAAAGGATCAGCTAGCTAAATGTCGCACGGCGTCAATTAAATTCTAAAAATGAAACTAAACAACACGTCGCTGGAACTTTGTCGGCGTTGTGCATCCAGTGCCACGGAGTGAGGTGTATTAGCATAATCGCCCATCCATTCGAATATGATGTCGGTGGCAGCGGCGGTTGCGACGACGACAACGAGCAGGTGTTGGGTTGTCGGTCGCGTGCATTGCATCATCCACAAGAAACTTTCGCGCGAACCCTGCCGCTCGATGATAAGAAATGCCTGTTGGCGAAGATCACCTCCGCAAGCATCAAAAGCACCTGAAGTGCGCTCTCGACAAGACATATGTATATTCCGCTTACTCACCGTAAACCCGAATCGTGGCTTCGCGGCTGCCGAAACGGTTCTCGGCTCGACATAGGTACTGCCCGTAGTCCTCGTGCGTGAAGTTATTGACAAACAGCTCGTAACGGTGATTGTACCTGAAATAATCAGGAGTGATGAGTTGATGACTCAATTTCCAAGAGGGAGCTCCACCGAGCCAGACACTCCCGAGGCTCACCAATGACTCGAGAATGTGCTGATGTATTTGCCGTAGCTGTGGGTGAGATTCAGCTTGAGTCCTGACGCTCCAATCCACTCGATCTCTGGTCGAGGTGAGCCTTCGACAAAGCATTCGAGTCGTGCGGGGTCGCCCCGCATTACTCCTAGCTCGGTTCGATTGACAGAGACCCGCGGTGCGACTGCAAATAAAAGATCGAGCCCATAATGGGTCCAGTGGTCTTGACGGAAAAATTATCTTCCCTTGCGCGCTATCCTTCTTCACGGGTGAAGGACAATGCGTTGGTTGGCCTCTGACGGCAAGCTAGTCGAACTCCAAACGGTTCCGCGTGGCTCCCTCTGAACGCTACGGTCGTCCCTCCACGCGATTATCACCCACGCGATCGAGGAAACATTCAATATACTGCAAACTGTTCGAAAACGTTGAAATCGCGCAGCCGGTCGACGGGCGGCGCGGCGTTTCAACGGAAACAGAGAAGCTGAGAGCCACCCCGGCTTGGAGCCATGATGGATAGACATTCCACGAGACAGAGCGAGTCAGTCGGGAGCTTTGCTTCACGCAACCCGTGGTGAATGGATGCGAGCACTTGCTCGTTCTCACGGTATTTGCCCGTGCGGGAATTCGTTTTGAAATTTCGTCGAATCTCATCTGACGGAGCCGACGAAGAAGTAAGCGATCTTGTCTTCGTCGGAGAGCCCGCCCTTGACTGGGCCCGACCGAGCTCGGCATAATGAGCGACCTCGCGGGCCTAGCGGGAGCGGGCGAGGTCGTTTGTGACCCTTGTTGGAGTCGCCGGCCGGTGGCTTCTAAGTGTAGTCGAAGCCTCTTTGATCCTCTCTGTGGAAACTTCACAAATAGACTCGGTGATGGGTTGAGGTCGCGCTGAAAGTTGCGGCCCGCCCGACCGCTTCCCCGGCATGCCACCCGCGTTTCGGCGCGCTCCGTTCTCTTCGAACCCGGTCGGCATATGCTCTTAAACGCCACGGTGGCTTGCGTTCTTCGGCCCCTCGCTTCCCTACGTTGCTTTGACCGAATCAGCAGCAGCAGCAGCGGCGGCGCCGGCGGAGAAACTCGACAAAAGTCAGGGCACGTCTGTGAGAATTTGAGTATTCACTCAAGCGACCCTTGTCCTCGGAGGGAGCCGAGTATTGGAGGGACAAGCTCCGCTCGGAGACCAACCGGGCGAGCAGACCTGACTCAGCTCAGACATTGAGTCATATGGTCTGGAAAAATACCGACGAGAAAACACCGCAGCCGTCCGAAGAGAAAACCCCGGAATATAATCTGGCGACGAGCGAAATACTGAATCGGATCCTGAGATTAACTTTGGGGAAAATGTGTGGATGAAATATCGGATAGGGTATCCTGATACCGAGACTCCGTAGGCTCGAGTTTCATGAGATCATATCGTCGTGGATCTGCGAATCGAGCGTCTGGGGGAATCTCTCACTGTCGAAGCAGGAAGCAGGAAGTGACAGAACTTACAGTTAGCGACGAGCTTCACTCTTTGGCTCACGGTCGGAGTGACACCGTTCTTCGCAATGCAGAGGTAGGCCCCACTGTCCTCTCGTCTGACCGCGACGAGCTGTAGTTCTTCCCCGCTCACTTGATGCGCTGTAAATGTATCCCATCTTAAGTTTATTCCCACCTTGCGATGCAACACACATACATCCTGTATCTCCGGTGTCTTATTTCGTCCCAGAGCCACGATTCTCTCTCTTACTCGCTTGTCCATGGAGACTCTTCCGGAAATCGAGAAATCCCGGAAAATGACGGAGAATATACGGGAGAAATATCATGAAATGCCGGCTCTCCGAGACTTCGTGAAAGCCCGGGTGCAGCTGATTTGTGTTCGGGTAGAACGCTGTCACGCCGCAGCCTCGTCCTCGATGGACGATGACTGCGGGGGCTGAATCGATTTTCAAAACACGTCTGTCGGGTGTTCAGCAGAACTCTCAGGCGCAAGATAAAGAACCAAACTTCGCCTCGGAGACGGCATTGAGAGAGAGAGAGCCCCATCCTCTTGCTGATTCAGTGAACAAGCCTCTGCTCTAACTAGCGTCTGGAGCATTCGAATTCGTGTAGTTCGGTAAACAGATGTAGTTTGTGTTGTAGCAGGACCGGACTGTTATTACCGAGAGTGTATAGGAATGGCTAGCGGTGAGAGCGCTTGTTGTCAATAAAGTGGGATGGGGAGGATGTTGGTCGACTGGAATCTCCTTGTCCTGCCCAACGGTCGTGTTGATACGCGAAGCCTATGGTTTCAGCCGCTAAAGTGTAGTGTGCCACTGCTAGAGCAAAATGGGTTCGCTTGCTCGCCTATTGCCTCCTGGAAGCCTTCCTCGAGCACCCACCAGCCCTCATAACTCCGCCGCTCGGCACGATAGCCCTAATGAGCGCTGTATAGGAAATCTATCAATAGCTCCGCCATCGGAAGCAACTTTGCCTATAATCATTCCACTATGGGTTCAAAGACACGAAAACACTCTGTTTCCCGCGCGATCAGCGAAAGAGCTCGACTTGATACGAATCGGAGCTCCTGCAGAGGCCTCGAAAATCCAGGTTTCGGTAGGACAGATTCTCGATTCGTCCGGAAAATATTCTTCCCCGTGGAAGTTAGGTGAAAGAAATATACAACCCGGAGAATGCGAGGTTTTCTGGCAGAGGAGATGAGCCCCAATCGCAGCTTCCCGGGTGATTTTCTATCTCTGTGAATTCCCACCAAGCACTCGTGTGAGCGGGTTCCCCGCAAAAATGTTCCGCTCACTGGTAACATCGCTTGACACGATCGTACGTGCCTCAGCTTCTTTTCGCTCGTTCCACAATCTGAGCTCCCTCTGTTGCTGTCTTCGTCGCTATCTCAGAGCTGGGAGTTGACGCAGGTCGACGGGAAGAGAAGAGCGGCGACGGAGGGAGGTCATCGATATCGATTTTTCAACGCCTTGTGGAGGAAGCTGATTACATCTACTGTCCGGAGGCCAGGGAGGAAAAAAACGCGATCCGGCATCCGACTCGAGAGACTGATTCACTCACTCTCCGGGGCAGTAGTTGCTTGCGGAAAGAGAAGTACGCCCCACAATAATTCCGATCGAAGAAGCAGATGCAAGACAAGTTAGTCTCTCAAAGGCTTGCGCATCGGATATGCAGATCCATGATCGAGCGAGACGGTATACGAGAGGAGTCGGAAGTCAGGAGTTCCCAGGAGTCGCACTGGCCTTGATTAGGTTCGTACCTGAACAGATCATTCGAAACTCACCTGAAAATTTTCTCTTCGAGCTGTTCCCGCCCATGGCCAGGTCATTCAGGTTGGAGCGCTCTCTTGGGAGGGGTATCTCTTTTCCGTTCTCCCGTTTCCACGATATCGAAGGCGTTGGGTATCCGGACGCTTTGCACTTCAGGGTGGCATTCAGACCCTCCTTGACCTGGACTTCACTGGGGGTCTCTTCCGAAATGATTGACGGGGGAACTAGTACGGTGAGGAGTAAAGTTTCATATTAGAGAGAACCGTAACCTGCTAGAGAACCACTAAATCAGTATTTATAGTATTTTAAGCTCGGATAATTTTTTCGGAGAGGAATAACTCACTGAGAACGTCTAGGTATCCGACTTGATTGATCATCGGCTGAGAATTTATCTGACACATGTAAGCACCCTTGTCGGAAGTTTGAACGTCTCGTATGTGGAGGAACCATTGCTTCTCGTTATTATGCGAAACTCGAAGACGGTTCTCACCGGCGATGATAGTCGTGTGAAAGGTCAACAGGGTCTCGGTATCCATTTTGATCCAAGTAACCTGCGGAAGAGAAGAAAGGTCAGTACTTTTGCCACAGCGGAGAAACTTTCTTTCCCAGCGAAAGCTCGTTCTCTCGGAAGTCAGGAGCGAAACTTGCGCGGTGCGGATTTTCCCACGTGAGCTCGAACAGTACTGGTTCGGGGAAGTCGCTGGCGGAGCTGGAGATACATACGTGCACGAGGCATTTGAGACGCAAAGTTCACGGAAGAAAATGCGTGTGCCCAAAAAACTTTCCTCTCCCTCACAGCAGCAGGCCCTTCATCCACAACTGGTTGTTAACGGAGGCCACTTCCCACTTAAACGGACGCTTTCCTTCGTCGCTCACGGACACAAGAGACCGAACCACGCCTCCTTGAAATGATTCTCAAGCACTCCATCGTCAGATTCTCCCAGAAACACATCGGAGAAACGCTATCGCTCTCGGCGAAGGCTCATCGACATTCGCTTCCCGATAGGCTTCCATGATACACTGGTCTGTGAATCGGATTTCTCCGTGCAAGCGATCGGATCCGAACTTTGAGCTCGAGTCTGGGAGTCTTCTCAACTTTGTGGCCCTCGTCTCGAGCCGGAGAATCGCAGAGCTTGGTCGGCCATGGCAGGAGAGATCTTCGTGATTTCGTCGCCTCTCGGAGGTAGGAGACCATTGGGTATCCGCAGTCCTGAAATGTCCGCGTTCGGAAATCATCGGAGGAAGGGTGAGCCAGGGAATGATTCGCAGCCTCCCTGGTGATGGGAGCCTCTCTCGGTGCGAAGGATCCGGAATGGAATACCTAATCATGAGCCCCCGGAGAGGATATGGACTTAATGAGAAACACGCGAGAATCCCGGGATCGATCATCTTTAGATTTCGGAAAATTTATTGCCCGTCTCGTCGGCGGGCTCAGTCTCTCGCACGGAGACAACGGAGTGGAGTACCCGCCGTACCGTTCCTTCAGAGGCCTCCAATGACGTCTCGGCGCTGGATAATTCCCGAGCTCGAGAATTATTTCTCTCCTGCTATCTGTTCCCTCTCAAATCGAATCTTGCATATTCCCGCTTCTCGGTGAAAACCTCTTCGGAGCAGTGTCAATCGCTCGTTTTCTTTTTTCCCTCTTCCGGGGGAATCGAATATCGGCATACATCGTTGATACCTACTAACATTCCTCTTTCGGTACTTCTCGTTCGGTCTACATTCGGTGTAAATGAGGTTTCGTTACTCTGGCATCGCGGAGGGAGTTCTCCGTCGCATACAAGAGACCTGCGTTTTCAATGGAATGATGGGGTTCTCTCTCCCTCCTGGTAGGTACGTGATGTACAACGGCATCTGTGTCATCGCGGTCAACTTTCATCCCGATACCTGGAACGACCCCTTCGCACGATGGATGATGCATTGATGCATCAATCGGACGCGAGGCAGCTCATCGTACGGTTTGACTTCATCAACGCTGACGACAGGCGTGCCCTTCTCCACAAGGAAAAAAACATCGGGGCGGCCACTATGGACGTAAACTCCGCACTAGAGCAAGAGTCTACGCAGGACTTCAACAAATGGAATCGAAATGTTGGTAGCGGCGGTGACATGGAGTAGCTGAACTTGGGAGGGCCGTCAAGAGAGAGAAAACACCACATCGAGCAATGTTCGCGGCGGCGAAAGGCTTCTACCACTCTCGGCATCGTCGGTGCGCACGGCGAGTACAGGGACAGAAACAGAGAGATCGACTTCAATCGGAACAAGAAAGTCTGAGGGTATCGAAGTCTCTCTCCGGGCCAAACGGCGGAGCACAACAGACATCGGAAATGTTTGCTCAGGTTACAAAGAGCTTCACTCCCAGCCGCGGCGACGAGAGCCAACAATGCTTCGTACTAGGAAACCGTGATCTAATTCCACTGTACTCCGCGACGCGTTGGATAAAAACTCGGATGGCGGATCGCAACCGACTCGAGATCAGGAGCTACAGCACTATACATTAGGTATCGAGCCTCGTTTTTGACTCCTATGTATTTCCAGATGAGGAAGAAATCGATTCCGAGCGAAATATACCATCTGGGAATAGGAACTTATACTTCCGAGGAAGTTCATGCGATCTCGATGAGCTTCAAGGTCCCATCTGCGGGAGATTGATTTCCCCCAACCTTTCTTTCTCTTTTTGAGCTCATTCTAATTCGATTATCGATGGTCTCGCTGACCTCTCCCCGCTCGTCCTCATCCCCGGGAGGGTTTCGAGGTCAAACAATTTGCGCGATGGAAGAACTCGGAGCCCAGCTTGATTCAGAAACAAACTCGAGATCGAAGTTCGCAGGAATACTCTGCCGAGAGCCGTCTCCCTACCGGGATGAATGGGTCGACGGCTCTCTGGCAAGACAGCCGGCAAGGCAAGCGGTCGGGCAGAGAGGCGGGCGGGCGGACGGGCAGCCAGGATGGCTGGTGGTTGTTCGCCTCGGTCCTCTCCCGTTTTTTTTTCTTCTTCTCTTGCTCCGCTCTGATAAGGAATCGAACATGATGTTTGAACTCGGCATTGATTTCCTTTCTTATCGAATCTTTAAATTATATACTACACACATACAGCCTGACTGCAGCTCCTACCGACGACGACGCCGCCGCCACCGCCGCTCGCCGAGCTACCGAGTGCGGCATGGGAGCCGACCGACGCAGCGTGGGCGTATAGTGGCAAGAAGAAGAAGGGGAATGTGACTGACTGAGGAGTTCGAACAGAGAACTCCTGTCGCTGTCCGGGAACGATGATAGGAAGGGAGAGCAGGAGTAGCAAATGGGAGACCTGGGCCAGTCGACTGGGTGCTCTCCTCAACTTTAATCTCAAAGATCCCGAACGCGGTTTCCTTATCTGAGTCAGTAGAGTCGACGACGATGTCAAGCGTGAAGACGTATGATTGGAATCCTATGGTGACGCCCTTCCATCGCTCGAAAAACTCACGTCCCGAGCCCGGAACAGCTTCCGGATTGCGAACTCCTGCGAGCCGCTGACCACGGAACAACATTGAGCGGCGACCCGGAGAACGGACCTCATCGAGGCCGGCCTCGCGAAGATGGCGAGGATCGAGCGAAGGGCGGCAAACCACCAATTAGGTGTGAACAATCACCGACAATGACCTCTCAGACGACCGATGAGGCCGACTACGACGAAATGAATTAACCGCTCGCCCTATACGATGGTTTCCGATGGGTCGACACTCTTCGGATGTTCTTCCATGGGAGTTTGTCCCTCGTAAGAAACTCGAAAGTCTTTTCACAAACCTTATAATTGCCGAGATTCTCGACGGAACACTCCAAAATCGCTTCCCTGCCTAAAGGCGCCGTTTTGTTCCGTACAGATCCAACAAATCGCGGCTTCGGCACGTGGTTTTGCGACAATTCTGCAAAGAAAAACGGAATGAATTATCTATAGGGAAGGTCTAATGATGCGCATATAGAGCATATTACCTGCGAAAGTGCACTCCAAATAATAATAGAAATGAAGAGAACACCTGGACTTCGAAAGAGACTCGATTTTATTTAGATTGTTCCCATTGGTCTAAGACCTCTTTTGTCAGATGTTTCAGTTCCCGCTCTCCTCCGTCACTAAAGCCACGAAACCCACGAAGAAGAGAACACGAATCACGGATTCCGGTTTACATTGTCTTTCCTCCTTTTTCGAAACGAGTGCCTGAGAATGCTCTCCCACTTCTCCCAGGTATTCCCGATCGACGCACTTTTGGTGTTCATTCCGTAATACTTCTCACGGCAGATTCATACTCCACTCCTTGAGGGATCAGACCGCATCGCGTCGCCACCTCAGTAGACCTCATTCGAAGATGTCAGCGCACTGCCGCCACCGCTGTGGATGGCAAGCCATCCGGAAAGTCTATTAGAGACAACGGTTGCGGCGGCCGGGCTTCAAATTAAACGTTTTTCATGGAGGCAGCGGTCGTGCTGCCGTTGTCGCTGTTTCTCCTCTTCCCTCCCTATTCCACGTTGTGCATAAAAAGTCGTTCATCTTCCAGCTGATTTTACTCGGTTCAGTTTAAAGCGCGGTCTGTCCCTCGCAGAACAGCCTTTGATAGCGAAAACGCATCTCACCCTTGAGTTGACTTAACAACGTCGATGTCGTTCACGTCTCTAGCGGACACTTGGTTGCGACATTGTTCCCCCTAGTAGTGTCTCCTCTTCGGTGGCTGGTCCGCGCAAGCGGCGCGGCGGCGGAACGTAAGGGCCACTTCGAGTGGTTGTTCTCAGAATATCAAGGAGTGCCTATTAATTTCAAATGGTCCGGAGGAAAGCAGCAGACTCGAAGAAAAGGAACCCGACCGTGCCGGGGTCTGACTCTCGCTTCCTTCCCCAGTCCCCTCCCGCCCCGAGAAAGAGCAGAGGAAGGACAACAACAGCAACATGAGATTCGTTTCCCTAATCGCCTTCATTTATGAACGGAGTTCGGTTCGCGACACGCGCAGGCACACACATAGAGCGTAACTGACCACCCTCCGCGACAGCTTCACCCTTGAGGCAAATTGAGGATGAAGCCGAGCATAAACATCCCAGAGAGATAATGTTCTCTCGCTGGTCAGCTCGTCCGCTGACTCGTGCAGTGCGCGGGACCAAGGAAGGAAGTGAGCACGAGTCGTAATCTTCGAGGGACAACGAGTGAAGTGCCGTTTGAATTTCTCAGGAAATGCGGAGCGGCGCGCAAATCTCCGACGTTGAGCATCTGAAGACATCAACGACTCTCGGTGTCGATGAAAATGATGGTGGCACCGGGAATGAGGTCTTCTTCGTTCGTCTTACCGATTCCTGCCGGACTGACGTCACGTCAGGGTCAGCCTCGCTGGAGCGTTCTACGTATGCATTTATTACTCATTGCGAACACGATTCGAGCAGCTGGCTCCGACTGAGAGTGCGCTCGCCCCAGTGTGTATCGGTGTGTTTGTACCTCAGCTCAGCCCCGCATCCTCGTTAGCCGACCCCGCGACGAGTCATGTTTGCCGATATGTCTCACAAACACAAATCAATCAGAAGCATTCGTAACAAGCGCTTCGTTAGGATACTCGGCGGCCTTGCGTATGGCATTTAATAGTTTAGGGACACGCTCTGCGCTACAAAGGAAAGCTTCGTGTCGTAAGTTCCTGAGCGCTTGCCCGAGCGTCGATTTATCGTTCGCCGCTCTTGCGTCACATATAAGTCGAGTGACTCGGACTGATTGATGACTTGATGCCTCGATTTCTCCAGCTCCCGAAACCGCATTGAGGTTGGAGCCCTCCTTTTTCGGTCCAGAAAATATTCATATTCCTCGCCAGAGCTGCCCAGAGTCGGACGAAGCTCGGTGTCCGAATCCGGTGTCAAGTTCAGAAGCTCGTTTCAGACGATAATGAATCATGAATATTTTCGATGATGATGAATAGAGTCCACAGATATCCTGAGGTTTCTCTGCGAAAATTTGAGCGACATTAGCGAGGTTGAGAGCCGACTCGCCTCGGAGCGCCCAACTCCTCGGGCTGGTGTCATGTCGGGTGGCGGGCGTGGGATCAGCATAATATGTGTTCGTTAATCGAGCGGAAAATTACTTTGGAAAAAGCAAGAAACTGCCAGTAACTCTTCACTGCTGTGAGTTCATGAATGGTGACTCGGCGTGAACCTCTTCATAGCGTTCTCGTCTTCAACATCTCATGAGGATCCGGTGCTCGGATTCTCCTGGAGGTGACTAGAACTCCACGATTCCAGCAAGGGTTCTGGCCGCAACCTCTTCCCGCTCTCACGATATTCGAGAGTCGCGTAGAAGCCCTCCAATATCTCGATCGGTCAACTATCGCTGTACGTTCGAGAATTCGCATCTTCGGAGCACGTACACCATGGGGTCGCGGCAAGACGTATCGAAATGTTGACTTCGAGATCGACGCTCCGCCGACGACGGGTGGCCGCACGTCTTCGCTCCGCCAGCCAGCCATCCAACCGGCCCGTCTGGGTCTCCGTCTGCGAGCTGCTGTGAGTAAAGAAGCTTCACCACCCGCTCTCCCCTTATTGGATTCCAAGCAACTGGACCAAAGTTAATGGTCTGGCCCGCGGACACACAATCTCCGTTTCTATCCTCTGCACAAGCGCTGCCATCGCCCCCAACACCATCAGGCAGACTCGCTCAACATCTCGCGGACGCCGACCGCTACCACCAGCGTGGGAGCGGAGGACCACGAGAGAGGCAGACGGAGAGTCACACGATAGGAGCGGACTCTCCTCGTTGAGCTCGGGGCTGGAAGACAAGAAAAAAGCGACAATGGTCTTCTCAGCACATTCTTGAAGCGGTCAGCCAGTGTCCCAGACGGACTGTCAGCCCGCCAGGGGAAAATATGTGGGACCTTCGAACTCGCCGGACGGAACAGCCAGTGTCCTTCGATAGAAACGGAGCTTGACTGAATCGATAATAATTATTGCCGAGCCGATATGAGTGATACACTCTGCTTCACCCAGGAAACTTCGATCAAAAGGTCGGGGAAACCCCGATCTGGAAGAAACGCGGCTCCAGAATTGCTCGAGATAACTTTCGGTCTCGGCGAGGATGGGGGGATGCCGCTCACAGACCTCCGATACGACATTGCGCCGCGCGCCGCCTCCATTCTTGCCTATGAGATCAATCGAGAATTTATCCGAGCGAGGGGAGATTTCCGTGATCGAGAAATCTCTGAGATTGATCCCATGGGATTCAATTTGAGAGTGACATCTCATTCCGCATACGGGAAGTAGCGGATGAGTGGGATCGGCCACGCCGGCCGAAGCGATCAATGCGGTGCAAGAAGAAAAACGCGTGGCTTAAGGATTCAGTCGACTGTGAAAAATTCTCCCTCGACTAAATCGAGATCAGCCTCGGCTTGAGCGACAGGAGCAAAACGAAGATGATCAGAACTTATGGACTCACTGACCCCACATCCGATCGGTCGCACAACCGAACGACTCCGACGGAGAGAGAGCCGAGGATAGAGGCCGTCTGTCTGACGAAACAGGAGAAACAAGAGAAAACGAAATGAAGGGCGCTCGAGGGGAAGCTCCCTGATTCTCCTTCGGTGCAGTTGGGAATGGTCAGGGAGTCTCGTTCTAAATAAAATCTCAGAACAAAGAAGAAGAGCGGTGCTGTTTCCTCTCGTGCCGACCCCTTGAAACGCTTGATTTTTTCGAGACGAGAGACACAGACAAACTCACTGACTAGGCAGGGGAGTAGCGAGCGAGTGGATTCAACTCGTGTCCTTAAAAGCTTCGAGCAAGTTTACCGAGCTGCGATCTGGAATCTCGGCACAGAGCTTCAAAAATTCGCTCGTGCCGTTCCCTTTTCGGAATCGCTCCGTTCTTTTCCCCTCAGAGAATCGCCGTACACGAGTCGAACCGACGTTGAACGCCCGACGGATGCCCGATAATTTCGACCTCGAATGAAATTTCACCGATCACTGAGAAAGGAACAAGGGAACGCTCCACTCAAAATCTTGTGAGCAGCTCACTCGGATTTCGAAGCTTGAATGACATTATAATTCGGCCATTCGTTCAGTAGTTGCTCAGACTCCACTGACCCCTTCGCGTGGAGGGAATAGGTGGATGTGAGGAAGAGAGTGCTCGGACGGGAATATTTGGTTTGCCGAGCAACGAGCACGCCACATGTCATGTCCTGCACACATCTCAAGAGCGAAGCCCCGAAGAAGAACTCTCTTTACAAGCCGATCTAAAATGAACGACAACCCAACTGTCAAGAAGCATTTCGCACATGCTTGCATCTCCACGCGGAACTTCACATCGAGGGGAATGCTGAGAAGAACCTGAACCGCCTATCGCGAGGACATCAAACACTGATTGTTGATACGATCGTTCAGGGAGCTGTCATCGTATTTACCTCCCGACCCCGTGTAAGGGGAATCAGGACATTTCCATCCCCATTACGATCCTCAGGCGGGGCATTTATGGCGGATGAGTTCTTTAAAACCGCCTCCTCCCCCCTCCTTCCCTTCCCCCCTCCTCGGCTCCGGCGAATGCCTCGAATTGGCTAGACTCGGGTAGTTCGGGACTCGAACCTGCAGGTCCACAGTTTGTTTGCATCTTCTCTTCGCGTCTTATCGCAGCAAGAGATCTCGGCCGAGGAATTCTTTCCAATCTGGGGAATATCCAGCGGCAAGGGAGACAACTTGCTTTTTTTTCGTTCGATACGCGAGCTCCTTCTGCGGCTGCTCCCGAAATCCCGGAATTTCTCCGTAGATGAGGGCTCGGATCCCGACAATGAGAGCCAGAGTCACCAGGGTGAGTTTCCGACTCGAGGTTCGGCCCGCGGGGAAATTTCCACGGGGAAATTTGGAAATTTCCAAATTAACCGCTGGTCGTGCGATACGCGTGATGCGGCGCGCTCGGTCGACCA